TCCTGATCCACTTCCTGGTTCACTTCCTGGTCCACTTCCTGGTCCACTTCCTGATCCACTTCCTGATCCACTTCCTGGTCCACTTCCTGATCCACTTCCTGATCCACTTTCTGGTCCACTTCCTGGTCCACTTCCTGATCCACTTCCTGGTCCACTTCCTGATCCACTTCCTGATCCACTTCCTGGTCCACTTCCTGATCCACTTCCTGGTCCACTTCCTGGTCCACTTCCTGATCCACTTCCTGATCCACTTCCTGATCCACTTCCTGGTCCACTTCCTGGTCCACTTCCTGATCCACTTACTGATCCACTTTCTGGTCCACTTCCTGGTCCACTTTCTGCTCAAATGTTGTGTTTAGTTTCTCAGTGTGAAGCGTGTTTTTCTGTTGCTGTTTTCTGGAGGTGGAAGTTTAGTGGAGTGTGAAGAAGGGAGGGGCGTCCACTGAGAACCGTTTGTCAGAGGGGGGGGGGGGGGGGTAAGACTCACCCCTCCCCCCTCCCTCCCTCCCTCCCTCCCTCTCTCTCCCTCCCTCCCTCCCTCCCTCTCTCTCCCTCAGTCTCATTCAGTCGTGGGATGCGTCAGGACTAGCACTGGACTCTGCAGAGCTCTCGTTTCTCCTCTTTCTGTCCTTCCTCTGTGGATTTATCCTGTGGATTTATCCTGTGGATTTATCCTGTGGATGTATCCTGTACTTGCTTGGGTAAGCTGCACACAGCTGTTTGGACAGAAGAGTCTGTTGTTTATGATGAACTTACAGAGGAACTATAGAGTTTGTAAAAGTGAAACTATCTCACAGTGAGGAAGGTTATTTGTGTGGCACAGGTCCTGCACAGGCTGTTTCCTCCACTCACCTGCTCAGAGAAGCCTGTCTCACATTTTCAGGAAGACTGTTCCAAAATGTATTATAAATCTGAAACACTGCCTCCTCATGTTTAGACCTGTCTCTGGGACCAGCAGGAGGCCAGTCCCTGTGCTCCTCAGAGTCCCAGCAGGAGGCCAGTCCCTGTGCTCCTCAGAGTCCCAGCAGGAGTCCAGTCCCTGTGCTCCTCAGAGTCCCAGCAGGAGGCCAGTCCCTGTGCTCCTCAGAGTCCCAGCAGGAGGCCAGTCCCTGTGCTCCTCAGAGTCCCAGCAGGAGTCCAGTCCCTGTGCTCCTCAGAGTCCCAGCAGGAGGCCAGTCCCTGTGCTCCTCAGAGTCCCAGCAGGAGTCCAGTCCCTGTGCTCCTCAGAGTCCCAGCAGGAGTCCAGTCCCTGTGCTCCTCAGAGTCCCAGCAGGAGTCCAGTCCCTGTGCTCCTCAGAGTCCCAGCAGGAGGCCAGTCCCTGTGCTCCTCAGAGTCCCATCAGGAGGCCAGTCCCTGTGCTCCTCAGAGTCCCAGCAGGAGTCCAGTCCCTGTGCTCCTCAGAGTCCCAGCAGGAGGGGAGTCCCTGTGCTCCTCAGAGTCCCAGCAGGAGGCCAGTCCCTGTGCTCCTCAGAGTCCCAGCAGGAGGCCAGTCCCTGTGCTCCTCAGAGTCCCAGCAGGAGTCCAGTCCCTGTGCTCCTCAGAGTCCCAGCAGGAGGCCAGTCCCTGTGCTCCTCAGAGTCCCAGCAGGAGGGGAGTCCCTGTGCTCCTCAGAGTCCCAGCAGGAGGCCAGTCCCTGTGCTCCTCAGAGTCCCAGCAGGAGGCCAGTCCCTGTGCTCCTCTGAGTCCCAGCAGGAGGCCAGTCCCTGTGCTCCTCAGAGTCCCAGCAGGAGGCCAGTCCCTGTGCTCCTCAGAGTCCCAGCAGGAGGGGAGTCCCTGTGCTCCTCAGAGTCCCAGCAGGAGGCCAGTCCCTGTGCTCCTCAGAGTCCCAGCAGGAGGCCAGTCCCTGTGCTCCTCAGAGTCCCAGCAGGAGAGTACCTGTGCTCCTCAGAGTACTATTACTATGGTAGTACTATAGAATACAGCGCTGACAGCTGCAGGAGAATCTCCTTAAACACTAAACATAATTATTAACATTAAAACATATTTATTTGTTATGTTATAATTATGGCTTTACTGAGTTAAATCACTTCCTCCAGTTTTACCATGATGTCACCTGAACATGAGCCGGAGCCACCTCCTTATTTGGGCGTTTGTTCTGACGGCGTTAGCTTAGCGCAGCAACAGCTGCAGACGTGTTGCTAAGGCGGTTGCTAAGGCGGTTGCTAAGGCAAACTGGACTTTCCCGTACAAATGAAGTGATCTGGTCCTGGTCTGGTCCTGGTCTGGTCCTGGACTGGTCCTGATCTGGGTCTGGTCCTGGTCTGGTCCTGGTCTGGTCCTGGTCTGGTCCTGGTCTGGTCCTGGTCTGGTCCTGGTCTGGTCCTGATCTGGGTCTGGTCCTGGTCTGGTCCTGGTCTGGTCCTGGCCTGGTCCTGGTCTGGTCCTGGTCTGGTCCTGGTCTGGTCCTGGTCTGGTCCTGGTCTGGTCCTGATCTGGTCCTGATCTGGTCCTGGTCTGGTCCTGGTCTGGTCCTGGTCTGGTCCTGGTCTGGAGCAATGCACAGTTTACATGCAGCCTTTAGCTTTTGCTGTGTTTAAGTTTAAGCCTGTGTTAAAAACTTTATGAATCACAATAAAAAACTTTTTTGAGGATTTTTTCAGAATTCAATGAATTTGAAATGGAGCCGTCAAAATGACTGCTGGACTTTCAGTTTCAGAGTCTGAGTGTTAATGCTATAGTTCCTCTGGGGGGGGGGTGTGGCATACCTGGGGGTGTTGGGGCTTGTGTTGGGGCCTGTGTTGGGGGTGGGGGCCCCCCCCACCTCTCTGGACTCTTGTGTCCCTTCGGCCCCGACCCCTGAAAGCTCTGAGAGAAAGATGATGAATTGCAAATGTCTGACGCTCAAAGTCAAGAAGAATCCACAATGAGGAAGAATAGGATGCCCTGGGGGGGGGGCTGCAGCCTGATGCCCTGAGTTCATTAGAAAGACTGCAGCCTGGGGGACCCCTGTGGTGAGGGGGGGGCTCAGGACCTGCATGGACCGGTCTCAAACAGCTTTGTTTGTTTGAGGTGAAGTTTAAACTGAACGACATCTGTCACTTTGGACTTTTTCTGTTTCCATTTAGTTCTATTTGTTTTCTTCTGTAGTTCAGTAACTCCCATCTGGTTCTAGACTGCTCTTGGACTGCTCTTGGACTGCTCTTGGACTGCTCTTGGACTGCTCTTGGACTGCTCTTGGACTGCTCTTGGACTGCTCTTGGACTGCTCTTGGACTGCTCTTGGACTGCTCTTGGACTGGTCTTGGACTGGTCTTGGACTGGTCTTGGACTGGTCTTGGACTGCTCTTGGACTGGTCTTGGACTGGTCTTGGACTGCTCTTGGACTGCTCTTGGACTGCTCTTGGACTGGTCTTGGACTGCTCTTGGACTGGTCTTGGACTGCTCTTGGACTGGTCTTGGACTGGTCTTGGACTGCTCTTGGACTGGTCTTGGACTGGTCTTGGACTGCTCTTGGACTGCTCTTGGACTGCTCTTGGACTGGTCTTGGACTGCTCTTGGACTGCTCTTGGACTGCTCTTGGACTGCTCTTGGACTGCTCTTGGACTGGTCTTGGACTGCTCTTGGACTGCTCTTGGACTGCTCTTGGACTGCTCTTGGACTGCTCTTGGACTGGTCTTGGACTGCTCTTGGACTGGTCTTGGACTGGTCTAGGACTGCTCTTGGACTGCTCTTGGACTGGTCTTGGACTGCTCTTGGACTGGTCTTGGACTGGTCTTGGACTGCTCTTGGACTGCTCTTGGACTGCTCTTGGACTGGTCTTGGACTGGTCTTGGACTGGTCTTGGACTGGTCTTGGACTGGTCTTGGACTGCTCTTGGACTGGTCTTGGACTGGTCTTGGACTGGTCTTGGACTGCTCTTGGACTGCTCTTGGACTGCTCTTGGACTGGTCTTGGACTGGTCTTGGACTGGTCTTGGACTGCTCTTGGACTGGTCTTGGACTGGTCTTGGACTGCTCTTGGACTGCTCTTGGACTGCTCTTGGACTGCTCTTGGACTGGTCTTGGACTGCTCTTGGACTGGTCTTGGACTGGTCTTGGACTGCTCTTGGACTGGTCTTGGACTGGTCTTGGACTGCTCTTGGACTGCTCTTGGACTGCTCTTGGACTGGTCTTGGACTGCTCTTGGACTGCTCTTGGACTGGTCTTGGACTGGTCTTGGACTGCTCTTGGACTGCTCTTGGACTGCTCTTGGACTGCTCTTGGACTGGTCTTGGACTGCTCTTGGACTGCTCTTGGACTGCTCTTGGACTGCTCTTGGACTGCTCTTGGACTGCTCTTGGACTGCTCTTGGACTGGTCTTGGACTGGCTCTTGGACTGGTCTTGGACTGGTCTAGGACTGCTCTTGGACTGCTCTTGGACTGGTCTTGGACTGCTCTTGGACTGGTCTTGGACTGGTCTTGGACTGCTCTTGGACTGCTCTTGGACTGCTCTTGGACTGCTCTTGGACTGGTCTTGGACTGGTCTTGGACTGGTCTTGGACTGGTCTTGGACTGCTCTTGGACTGGTCTTGGACTGGTCTTGGACTGGTCTTGGACTGCTCTTGGACTGCTCTTGGACTGCTCTTGGACTGGTCTTGGACTGGTCTTGGACTGGTCTTGGACTGCTCTTGGACTGCTCTTGGACTGCTCTTGGACTGCTCTTGGACTGGTCTTGGACTGCTCTTGGACTGGTCTTGGACTGCTCTTGGAATGGTCTTGGACTGGTCTTGGACTGCTCTTGGACTGGTCTTGGACTGGTCTTGGACTTCTCTTGAACACATTGGCAACATGTTAGCCCCTGTTACCGTTTGAAGCTAACGCCATCAGAACAAAGGCCCATATAAGGAAGTAGTACACAGTAGTATACATCAGTACACAGTAGTATACAGTAGTATACAGTAGTACACAGTAGTATACAGTAGTATACATCAGTACACAGTAGTATACAGTAGTATACATTAGTATACAGTAGTATACAGTAGTAAACAGTAGTACACAGTAGTATACAGTAGTATACAGTACTTCTCTGTTTGTCTGTATACATTAGTATACAGCTTCTCTGTTGTCTGTGGGGGAGGAGCTTGGGAGGAAGTTCTTGTTGTCTGTGGGAGGAGGCTTCTCTGTTGTTGTGGGAGGAGCTTCTCTGTGGGAGGAGTAGCTTCTCTGTTGTCTGTGGGAGGAGCTTCTCTGTTGTCTGTGGGAGGAGCTTCTCTGTTGTCTGTAGTCAGGACAGCGGTGGATTTTTCAATGAGCAGCGAGCCTTTATTTGTTATATAAAGCAAAATAACGTTGTTGTAGGGCTTCAACAAAACATGTTCTGGGTTCACCACAGACTGAGGCTGCAGTGTTTGCAGAGTTCCGTCATTTACTCCAGGAGCTGCGTACGGAGGAGTTTCGCTTTCAGCGGTACTTCCGCATGTCACTCGCCCAGTCTGAGCTCAAACCCCGGAGCTCGCCTCTCCCTGCCTCTCTCCTGCCTCTCGCCTGCCTCTCCCCGGCTCTCGCTCGCCTCTCCCTGCCTCTCCCTGCTCTCGCTCGCCTCCGGCTCTCGCTCGCCTCTCCCTGGGCTCTCCTGCCTCTCCTCGCCTCTCCCTGCCTCTCGGCTCTCGCTCGCCTCTCGCCTCTCCCTGCCTCTCCCCGGCTCTCGCCTCTCCCCGGCTCTCGCTCGCCCTCTCCCCCTCTCCCTGCCTCTCCCCGGCTCTCGCTCGCCTCTCCCTCTCCCTGCCCCGCCTCTCCCTGCCTCTCCCGGCTCTCCTCGCCTCTCCTCGCCTCTCCCCGGCTCTCGCCTCTCCTCCGCCTCTCCCTCTCCCCGCCTCTCCCCGGCTCTCTCGCTCCCCGCTCCCTGCCTCTCCCGGCTCTCGCCTCTCTCGCTCGCTCTCTCCTCCGGCTCTCGCTCGCCCGCCTCTCTCTCGCCTCTCCTGCTCTCTCCCGCTCTCTCGCTCCCCGGCCTCTCTCCCGGCTCTCGCTCGCCTCTCCCTGCCTCTCGCCTCTCTCCGGCTCTCGCTCGCCTCTCCCTGCCTCTCGCTCGCCTCTCCCTGCCTCTCCCCGGCCTCTCCCTCTCGCTCCTCGCTCTCGCTCGCCTCTCCTCGCTCTCCCCGCCTCTCTCGCCTCTCCCCCCCGGCTCTCGCTCGCCTCTCCCTGCCTCTCCCTGCCTCTCCTCGCCGCCTCTCCCTGCCTCTCCCGCCTCTCCTCGCCTCTCCTCGCCTCTCCCTGCCTCTCCTCGCCTCTCCTCGCCTCTCCCTGCCTCTCCCCGGCTCTCGCTCGCCTCTCCTCGCCTCTCCTGCCTCCTCGCCTCTCCTCGCCTCTCCCGCCTCTCTCGCTCTCGCTGCCTCTCCTGCCCTCTGCCCTCCTGCCTCTCCTCGCCTCTCCCGCCTCTCCTCCTCCGCCTCTCCCGCCTCTCCTCGCCTCTCCTCGCCTCTCCCCGCCTCTCCCGCCTCTCCCGCCTCTCCCCGGCTCTCGCTCGCCTCTCCCTGCCTCTCCCTGCCTCTCCCCGGCTCTCGCTCGCCTCTCCCTGCCTCTCGCTCGCCTCTCCCCGCCTCTCGCTCGCCTCTCCTCGGCTCTCCCTGCCTCTCCCTGCCTCTCCCTGCCTCTCCTCGGCTCTCGCTCGCCTCTCCCCGCCTCTCCCTGCCTCTCACTCGCCTCTCCCCGGCTCTCGCTCGCCTCTCCCTGCCTCTCGCTCGCCTCTCCCCGCCTCTCGCTCGCCTCTCCTCGGCTCTCCCTGCCTCTCCTCGGCTCTCGCTCGCCTCCTCCCCGCCTCTCCCTGCCTCTCCCTGCCTCTCCCCGGCTCTCGCTCGCCTCTCCCTGCCTCTCCCCGGCTCTCGCTCGCCTCTCCCCGGCTCTCGCCTCTCCCCGGCTCTCGCTCGCCTCTCCCTGCCTCTCCCGGCTCTCGCTCGCCTCTCCCCGGCTCTCGCTCGCCTCTCCCTGCCTCTCCCGGCTCTCGCTCGCCTCTCCCGGCTCTCCTCGCCTCTCCCCGGCTCTCGCTCGCCTCTCCCCGGCTCTCGCTCGCCTCTCCCCGGCTCTCGCCTCTCCCCGGCTCTCGCTCGCCTCTCCCCGGCTCTCGCTCGCCTCTCCCTGCCTCTCCCCGGCTCTTGCCTCTCCCCGGCTCTCGCCTCTCCCCGGCTCTCGCTCGCCTCTCCCTGCCTCTCCCTGCCTCTCCCTGCCTCTCTCCGGCTCTCGCTCGCCTCTCCTCGGCTCTCCCTGCCTCTCCCTGCCTCTCCTCGGCTCTCTCGCTCGCCTCTCCCTGCCTCTCCCCGGCTCTCGCTCGCCTCTCCCTGCCTCTCCCTGCCTCTCTCCGGCTCTCGCTCGCCTCTCCCTGCCTCTCGCTCGCCTCTCCTCGCCTCTCCCCGCCTCTCACTCGCCTCTCCCCGGCTCTCGCTCGCCTCTCCCTGCCTCTCCCTGCCTCTCCCCGGCTCTCGCTCGCCTCTCCCTGCCTCTCCTCGCCTCTCCTCGCCTCTCCCTGCCTCTCCTCGCCTCTCCTCGCCTCTCCCTGCCTCTCCCCGGCTCTCGCTCGCCTCTCCTCGCCTCTCCCTGCCTCTCCTCGCCTCTCCTCGCCTCTCCCTGCCTCTCGCTCGCCTCTCCTCGCCTCTCCCCGCCTCTCACTCGCCTCTCCCCGGCTCTCGCTCGCCTCTCCCTGCCTCTCCCTGCCTCTCCTCGGCTCTCGCTCGCCTCTCCCTGCCTCTCCCCGGCTCTCGCTCGCCTCTCCCTGCCTCTCCTCGCCTCTCCTCGCCTCTCCCTGCCTCTCCTCGCCTCTCCTCGCCTCTCCCTGCCTCTCCCCGGCTCTCGCTCGCCTCTCCTCGCCTCTCCCTGCCTCTCCTCGCCTCTCCTCGCCTCTCCCTGCCTCTCCCCGGCTCTCGCTCGCCTCTCCCTGCCTCTCCCTGCCTCTCCCCGGCTCTCGCTCGCCTCTCCCTGCCTCTCGCTCGCCTCTCCCCGCCTCTCGCTCGCCTCTCCTCGGCTCTCCCTGCCTCTCCTCGGCTCTCGCTCGCCTCTCCCCGCCTCTCCCTGCCTCTCCTCGCCTCTCCCCGGCTCTCGCTCGCCTCTCCCTGCCTCTCCCCGGCTCTCGCTCGCCTCTCCCTGCCTCTCCCCGGCTCTCGCTCGCCTCTCCCCGGCTCTCGCCTCTCCCCGGCTCTCGCCTCTCCCCGGCTCTCGCCTCTCCCCGGCTCTCGCTCGCCTCTCCCTGCCTCTCCCGGCTCTCGCTCGCCTCTCCCCGGCTCTCGCTCGCCTCTCCCCGGCTCTCGCTCGCCTCTCCCCGGCTCTCGCTCGCCTCTCCCCGGCTCTCGCTCGCCTCTCCCCGGCACTCGCCTCTCCCCGGCTCTCGCTCGCCTCTCCCCGGCTCTCTCTCGCCTCTCCCTGCCTCTCCCCGGCTCTCGCCTCTCCCTGCCTCTCCCCGGCTCTCGCCTCTCCCTGCCTCTCCCCGGCTCTCGCCTCTCCCTGCCTCTCCCCGGCTCTCGCTCGCCTCTCCCTGCCTCTCCCCGGCTCTCGCCTCTCCCTGCCTCTCCCCGGCTCTCTCTCGCCTCTCCCTGCCTCTCCCCGGCTCTCGCCCGCCTCTCCCTGCCTCTCCCCGGCTCTCGCCCGCCTCTCCCCGGCTCTCGCTCGCCTCTCCCCGCCTCTCCCCGCCTCTCCCCGCCTCTCCCTGCCTCTCCCCGGCTCTCGCTCGCCTCTCCCTGCCTCTCCCCGGCTCTCGCCCGCCTCTCCCCGGCTCTCGCTCGCCTCTCCCCGCCTCTCCCCGCCTCTCCCCGCCTCTCCCCGGCTCTCGCTCGCCTCTCCCCGCCTCTCCCCGCCTCTCCCTGCCTCTCCCCGGCTCTCGCTCGCCTCTCCCTGCCTCTCCCCGGCTCTCGCCCGCCCGGAGCTGCCTTGCTCTGAGCCAGACTCATCGTCAGCCTGTTCTTATATTAAATAAACTACGTTTACTACACAGCATGTGTACAATGATTTTTGTTACTCAGAATGTTACTACTCATACAAATAATATTACTAATAACAATAATGACAATAAAACAGCAGCAGCATGACTTCTCTTCATGACAGAGACAGACCCTCTGCTGCTGCTGCTCCTCGTCTCCTGATTGGTTGAAGCCCGCGTCAAAGCTTCAAAAGCTCAGCTTTGCTCAACTTCGGCGTCAAAGGGATTGTTGTGATACGCGAGCGTTTGACGCGCGCCAAGTGACGCCGGGGCTTTCGGCTTCACCTGACGCGCTTCACCATTCACTTTCAATGGAAACCTGACGCTTTTGACGCCGAAGTTAAGTCCGGTGTGAACGCCCCTTAATATATTTACTGTATGTGAGACCCCGGCGTCTGCAGGAGGGTTTTACAGATTCTGAGCCTGAAACTAGTGTTGGTGAAAGCTGAGCAGACACTATGATGATGCTCAGAGGTGGTGACGGGGAGGAGGCGGGTTGCTGCACTCACAGAAGCTGAAACGCACCCCATCAGGGAGGTGCAGGTGTGACGCAGAGAGAGGTGTCAAAGATCAACATAAATTACACTGAAAGACTCAAACTCCGGAAAAACTAAAGTGAAAGTGAAATGAATACGTCTGACTGAGATCTTTATGTTGATAATTAAACCCAATTATAAAGGTGAATTGAGGATGAACTGTAAGCATAAAACTTACAGACGCCACTTTGTAATGACTTTATATCATTTATTAATTTCACATTATAAAGTTGAAATGCAGAAATAAATAAACTTGAACAATATAGTTTACATTTTAATGACATTTTCCCATTCTGTCTTTGCAGGAACACTCTTCATCAACCAAAAGACTGAGTTTGATTTGGAGAACCCGTCCATCCTGGTGTTAATCGAGGCGCGAGACCACGGCAAGCCATCACTCTCCTCCGTCACTACCGTCCACGTCCAGGTTTCTGACGTCAACGACAACGCCCCCATCTTCCACCAGTCGGAGTACAGAGCCTCCATGTCCGAAGACAACCTCCCGGGCTCCACTGTCCTCACCCTGGAAGCCACGGACGGAGACCTGTCCCGGGACAACTGCGGCTTCGATTTCACCATTGCGAGCGGAAACTCAGGGAATGTGTTCCAGATCGAAAGCAGTGTGCGGTTTCTAGAAGGCAAAGGTTTCCAGACGGTTGGCAGCATCATTCTGGTTGAAGAACTGGACTTTGAAGCCGTGCCTAAGTATAACCTGACTGTCGTGGTGTCCGATCGCGGGGTACCGCAACGCAGCTCCAGCGTGCCTGTCCTTATTAGCATTAGCGACGCCAATGACAACCCACCAGCCTTCAGCCGGGCAGAGTACAGAGTCGTCCTCAGCGAAGGTGCAGCTACCGGGACCGAGATCCTGCATCTGTCGGCCCATGATCCGGACTCAGCGCCCAACGCAGAGATGCAATACTCCATCAGCTCCGGCGACGAGAACAACCTTTTCCAGGTGGACGCCTGGACGGGAACGCTGAGACTCCGGAAAGCCTTGGACAGCGAGAGTCTGACTTTGCACGTCGTTGTAGTTCAAGCCACGGACGGTCAGGGTCACTACACCTTTGCCCCGGTGACAATCGAGGTGAAGGACATCAACAATAACCGCCCGTTTTTCCCACTCAAACATGTAACCACCAGCATCAGGGAGAACCAGCCCAAGAATGCCTTAGTTACCATTTTGCACGCCATCGACCATGACCGAGGAGCGTTTGCACAATTGAAATATTTTATGCTTGATGATTCTAAAGGAGAGAGCACTTTTCTTGTCAACCAAACTACGGGTGAAATACGAACTCGCTCCACTTTTGATTTTGAAAAAATAAACTCTTTTGATTTTGTTGTTGGTGCCATGGACACTGGGAACTTTTCAGCTACTGTGACAGTTCAGGTTTACGTCAACGGAATGGACGAGTATAATCCAGTTTTTACATTTCCTGAGTTCCTGTTCGAAGTGCCTGATGGGGCGAGAAAAGGCCAAGTGATCGGCAGAGTCCAAGCCAGAGATGAAGACGGGGGTATTGACGGCGTGGTGCTCTACTCCATGCTGGACACCTCTGCATATTTTGAGGTGAACAAATCTAACGGCGAGATTTCCCTGAAGATGGACAGCTATAGCAGACACGTTAGCCGTTCTAAAAGAGAGGTGCGGCAAATGTCTTTAGAGGTAACGGCCCATAGCCCTTTGCAGACGTCGCGAGTATCAGTAGCCAAAGTGACCGTGGACGTGACCCATACTGTGTTTGGCATTCCCACTGACATGAATACAGCGCTTGTTAGTGTCATCGCTGTATCGCTTGGCACTATTATCATTCTTATCCTAATTGCCATAGCTCTGTTTTTTGTTAAACTGAGACGTGAAAGAAAATACCATAAGAACCACGGGCACAAGTCGGGATCCAGCAAAATGATGCATCGCTTTGAGGAGACTAAGATAATTGCTGCAAATGAGATGATCTATCACCAAGCCCTACCAGGATTTATCACTGAAAGAAGCAATAACGCTGGTCCATTTATCCGCGGAGGATCCTTAGACCCGTCCCACTCCAGCGGCCGGGGATCGGCTGAGGCGGAAGCAGCAGAAGACAATGAAATACGAATGATCAATGAGTACCCTCGAGTTTCTAGCATATCCTCATCTATGCAAGAGCGCTTATCGGCCAGAGGTCCTGATTCCGGGATCCAGCAGGATGCGGACCAGTTGTCAGACGTGTCCATCGATGGTTCTGGCTGGTTCAAAAAGAAAAAAGGCAGCCTAAATGGATCGATAGTGTCTGGTTCACTATACCGGGAAGACACTGGAAGCTACGTTAGCGTCGGGAGAGGGCTTAGCATCTCCCACCCAAAGGACTACACATTCCCAGCGGATGGAAAGCCAGCGGTTGATGGATCTCTCACAGCTATCGTTGCCACCGACGAAGAGCTCAGGGGAAGCTACAACTGGGACTACCTCCTGAACTGGTGTCCGCAGTTTCAGCCCCTAGCCAGCGTCTTTACGGAAATTGCACGGTTGAAGGACGAGACCACCCCACATCATTCCCGAAGGCACTTCCTCCACAAGGCCAAGCTAACAGAATCAAGAATCGACCCGCCACCTCTCATAACGTCTGTGGCTCATCCCGGGGCCAAGACGGTACCTCCCAAACCCGCCATCGGAAGGACTTACCCACACCTGGGGTCTTTCCGGAGGTCGCCCCTGAGTGACCAGGGATCTATGTCGTCCGTTGCTATGTCCCCAAGCTTCTCGCCGTCCCTGTCTCCTCTGGCGGCACGTTCTCCGGCCGTCCCCCCCTTCAGCGTCACACAAGGACCATCAGCGTCGGTCATCAGTGCGACGGACCATCACCTGGAACACAGCGAGGAGCTGAGGTTCTGACTGTTCTAGTCCTTTTCTGACAATGACTTTGAAAAACGATGCAACAGTTGATGAAGGTGTTTTGTATCGTTTACCTCTAATTTAAATTATTGTTGTTTCATGCAGTTTTTTTCAGATGTGTGTAATTCAAATCTCGAAGGAAAACAGTCAGAATGTAATGAAGTACTGAGAAGTTATTCTACAGTGTATAGTTTATGTATTTGAGCGCTGCACTTTCCACTCCACTGGTAAAAAGGGTAAATTACACCACAATTGTGTTCTTTTGTGTCAAACAGAGCCCTTTCTCATTTTCTGAGCGCGTGTGGTTCTCCACAAAACTTTGAGTCATCTGTGACAGATCTACTAAAAACTGTAGTGATATCTGTGATGAGAGCTGCACGACAACAGTGAAGGAGTTACGTACCCCAGCTTTAAGTGAGATACAGTCTATTGTGGAACCACTGGTGAAATATGAAAATGTGTTTCTGAATTTAACTTTTGTAATTGAATGACTTTGTGTCCAGACTTTCTCAGCAGTCTCTGAAGTATCCGTCGGTGTTTGCCTCGATCAATGACTGTGGAGGAGATTTGCACATTCTCATCAAGATGTCAATATTTTTACAAAATCATTGTCTATATTTTTATACATACTTACGAAATGGGATTCCCTCGCCATAAGCTAAACTATATTTCTAAATTTGTATATTTGTAGCGTGTTTACACATACCGTACGCTGGGTGTAGTTTTGTTTTTCTCTTGTTTGTAATGAACCATTAATGCTTCATGAGCTGGAGTTTGTCTGATATATTCTTGTAAATATTTATGTGGAAGACTCTTGTTTGAACAAATGGAGCCTCAGTGGGAGCAGCACATGTTGTGGTGGGACAGACCTGCGTTTGATCCCACTTCAAAAGGTGCGAATGTGGAATCTTCACTTCTGCTACTTTCCCACAGAGAAACTCTGAACTATGTGAGGCATTATTATTTATGCTGGTTTTGGTCCTAAAGCTGATGTCTGCAACTACAGTTGTACTTCATTGTAAATAATACATATTTTTGACCGTATGCCGCTGCAGTATTATCTAAATTAACGCTTCATAATCAATATCTCTGCCATCCCTGGGAATAAGAATCACACAAAGGATTTTCTGTAGGAGAATAGTTGGACAGGGACCTCAGCTGTCAATCAAGGATTTGCATTCATTTAATTTCTAACCCTTTATTAGTCCAATTTTTTGGGTCGTGCTCTAGATCTTAGATCTGCGGAGCCAAGGCAGGGATCTTAGATCTGCGAGCTCCAAGGCAGGGATCTTAGATCTGCGGAGCAAAGGCAGGGATCTTAGATCTGCGAGCTCCAAGGCAGGGATCTTAGATCTGCGAGCTCCAAGGCCGGGATCTTAGATCTGCGGAGCTAAGGCAGGGATCTTAGATCTGCGAGCTCCAAGGCAGGGATCTTAGATCTGCGAGCTCCAAGGCAGGGATCTTAGATCTGCGGAGCTAAGGCAGGGATCTTAGATCTGCGGAGCAAAGGCAGGGATCTTAGATCTGCGGAGCAAAGGCAGGGATCTTAGATCTGCGGAGCTAAGGCAGGGATCTTAGATCTGCGAGCTCCAAGGCCGGGATCTTAGATCTGCGGAGCTAAGGCAGGGATCTTAGATCTGCGGAGCAAAGGCAGGGATCTTAGATCTGCGGAGCAAAGGCAGGGATCTTAGATCTGCGAGCTCCAAGGCAGGGATCTTAGATCTGCGAGCTCCAAGGCAGGGATCTTAGATCTGCGAGCTCCAAGGCCGGGATCTTAGATCTGCGGAGCAAAGGCAGGGATCTTAGATCTGCGAGCTCCAAGGCCGGGATCTTAGATCTGCGGAGCCAAGGCAGGGATCTTAGATCTGCGAGCTCCAACGCAGGGATCTTAGATCTGCGAGCTCCAAGGCAGGGATCTTAGATCTGCAAGCTCCAAGGCAGGGATCTTAGATCTGCGAGCTCCAAGGCCGGGATCTTAGATCTGCGGAGCCAAGGCAGGGATCTTAGATCTGCGGAGCCAAGGCAGGGATCTTAGATCTGCGAGCTCCAAGGCCGGGATCTTAGATCTGTGAACTGTGAGTTAAATCAAAGGACTGGTCTTGGTCTGGTCCTGGTCTGGTTCTGGTCTGGCCCTGGTCCGGTCTTGGTCTGGTCCTGGTCTGGTTCTGGCCTGGTCCTGGTGAACCAGAGTGAGAGTTGGTTACCATAGCAACTGTTCTGATCAATGGGTTTCATCATTTATTACATGCTTTTAATACGAAAAAAAATTCTCAGAATTCCATTGGTTTGAATGAGAGCTGTCAAAATGACACCTGTAGGTCTCAGTGTTATTCTGAGTGACACCTGTAGGTCTCAGTGTTATTCTGAGTGACACCTGTAGCTCTCAGTGTTATTCTGAATGACACCTGTAGGTCTCAGTGTTATTCTGAGTGACACCTGTAGGTCTCAGTGTTATTCTGAGTGACACCTGTAGGTCTCAGTGTTATTCTGAGTGACACCTGTAGGTCTCAGTGTTATTCTGAATGACACCTGTAGGTCTCAGTGTTATTCTGAATGACACCTGTAGGTCTCAGTGTTATTCTGAGTGACACCTGTAGGTCTCTGTGTTATTCTGAGTGACACCTGTAGGTCTCTGTGTTATTCTGAGTGACACCTGTAGGTCTCAGTGTTATTCTGAGTGACACCTGTAGGTCTCAGTGTTATTCTGAATGACACCTGTAGGTCTCAGTGTTATTCTGAGTGACACCTGTAGGTCTCAGTGTTATTCTGAGTGACACCTGTAGGTCTCAGTGTTATTCTGAATGACACCTGTAGGTCTCAGTGTTATTCTGAATGACACCTGTAGGTCTCAGTCTTAACATATTATTCAGGAATAATGAGTTTGTGAAGTCATTGCTATGAATTGAATGTGGTGCTAATGTTTTTTCCGTGCTAATGCTTAGCTCGTGCTAATGCTAAAGACGCTAACAGAGGTGTTGCTAAGTGTTTGTCTTCTTCTTTTGTCTGAAATGAGTTTATGTTTATAACCTGTTTGCAGAAAAAGTGCCTGATTAAAGTATGTTAAAAAACTTGTCTGATTTACTGCCCAATCAAAACATGTTTCTGACAAACACTGTGTTTATAGAACGATGCTAACCCGCTAGCTCAATGAAGCCCAATAGTGAAGAGCGCTCTGCAGCAGGTGTGTGGGTTCCTCATCAGCTCTGCATAAAGCTCTGGTGCAGACATCACTTCTCTGCCAGATTATTCAATGTCTCAAGTTAGTGTGCAGCAGCAGTGTGAGTTTTTGCTCTTGTGTTATTTTTTGCTTATGGGTTTTTTGTGTCCTGTGTTCAGGTCTCCCTTTTTCTGGACCAGCTCCATGTCACTTTCCTTGAATCGTGCTCAGTCTGTCTCTGCTTTGGGGTCCAACACGCAATCCTTAACAGAATAATCTGGCCAAAATGGACCCCGCAGAGGCACAACAATTCAGACTGGCTCTTGACTCTCATGGTTTGAGAGTTGAACAACAAGAGGGAGCACGTGAGGAGATCATGGACTCTACTTCAAGACTTTCTACGAGTGTTACAGAACTTTACTATCAGATTGGACGTGTTGCTTCACATCTGGAATCAATCACCACACCTGCCCCATCTCCAGCTTCTGCCCTGCCGTCTGTTTCGGACCCTGCATTGCTTTCAGCCCCTAGTGCCCAGCCGGCCCAGCCCCGGGAGCCATTCATCCCCACTCCTTCCAGGTATTCAGGAGAGATAGGGACATGCAGTCAGTTCCTCCATAAGTGCACGCTTGTTTTTGAACAACAACCGTTAACTTATTCCACTGACAGAGCTAGAGTAGCTTTTATAATGAGCCTGCTAACTGGTAGCCGGCTCCTTTCTCTGCACCAGGGTTCAGGTTCTGTGTCTACGTTCTCTATAGATTTTCACATATTAGCAGCACAATGTGGTTGGGATCAGAGGGCCCTTCAGGGGGTCTTTCTTAGGGGTTTAAGTGAGGAGGTTAAGGATGAACAGATTCAAATTCAGATTCAGATTCATTTATTTGCCATTTGCAGTAAAACCACATTGGAAAAACTGTGCAAGACTACCCCGGTGTGCACCAGACAGAGGAGACGACACACACCAGAGCTCTTGCCACGGCGCCATCTTTACGGCGCCATGCGACAAACAGTAGAATAAACAGCAGAGAGCAATAACATACAGTTACACAGACAGTTGGATAGACACATTGTGCCTTGTATAAAGCACGGATTTTTTCTCGGGATGAAGCACCTCCTACAGCCGCCCAATGTGGCTGTCAGAGGGGGGCGGGGTCAGGGAGGGGGGTGAGTCGGAAACACAGTGAGGAGTGAAGGGGAGGGAGGGAGCAAGATGGATAGAGGGAGGCGGGGGAGACGGGATCCGAGCTGGAGACTGAAGTGTGAGATTGTTGTAGATGGGGACCGGCAGCCCGTGATGAAACTAACTCTTTAGAGGATTTAATTACATTAGCCATCAGATTGGATGACAGACTGCGAGAGAGGCGTAGGGAGAGAGCAGGCAGATTGAGTGCTCCATTCCCCAACGACATCCTACGGAGTCGTTCTCTGCTGGTCCTGTTTCCAGTTCTGTTCCAGTCATCACGGAGGTGCCCAAGCCACTGAGCAGGAAGAGATCTACTCCAGAGAAGAGGCGTTGCTTTAATCAACGCTGCACGTATTGCGCCCAAACAGCACACGTTCGGGTTAGATGTCCAGCCCTGCCACAGGAGGGGGTCCTGGTGAGCCACACCCCTGCTGATCCTTGCACCAAGCGTATTCAGCTACGAGGTACTGTCACGCTTAACAGGGATTCCTTTGCACTCCTGGCCTTAGTCGATTCGGGAGCTGATGACAATTTTATCGACTATGGATTTGTTTCCCAGTGTAAGATACCAACCGAGCCTCTTCCCAGCCCCAAGACTGTTTTTGCGCTAGATGGTAGGCCTCTTGCCACTGTGACTGATCGCACTGTTCCAGTGTC